GATGTTCAATAGGTTAGGTGTATTAAATGTATTTTTGACTTAGGATATTTTTAATTTATGATGTTTATTTGGGACATAACCCCATCATAAGCCAAGAAACATCTATAAATGAATATAATAGAACAATCTAAAAATGATTTTAAAAAATAATATGTTTAAGATTCTCTTCTATCAAAGACATAATAACCTTATAAAGCAAAAAAACTAATCATGAAATAAAGACCAAGAGACATGACTCAAAGACAGATGGGTAGAAAAAATGAAGAAAATTGAATTATTGGAATTGAAAATATAATAATTAGACCAAATATATAAAAAAGATGAGTAAATATCTCATATAAGGGTATGAGAAAAAATTAGTGAAATAGATGATACTACTCAGGAAATTTTCTCAAAGTGACACAGGAATAAACAAAGGATAAAGTTAGATGCTTCATTATTGAAACTTCTAAAGGTAGAGAATAAAGGAAACACGGAAAAACAATATTTAAATGAAGTGATATTCATAGAAAAGTTTTTAGCCTTAAAGAAGAGTCCCCATATTTAAAGTAAATACCAAAGCTATGCAAAATAACTAGAAGTAAATTCACATATTAAACATATTGTAGTAAAACTTCACACCATCAAAGGGTAAACTTCAGTAAAAGAAAAAGTGAATCCAAAAGGGAAAAAAGAAAATGCAAGCTTATTGCATAAAACTTGAACATCAGAAAAATAGAATAAAATAAGTTATCTATTAGCCATAACATCTGTTCATGTTCACATTTTATTTCCTTTCACTTTAAACATTTATAATTGGTTTTTACATTTTTGTATATAACTATAGTAATATTGCATATTAAAATTTGTATACTACTTTTTAAAACTAATATAACAATCATTTTTCCTGTTATTATGCTAGTCTTGTAAATATAATTTTTGAAACATTCATAATCTGTCAAATTGCTTTTCTGTACATTGATCTTTAAATATGACTTACTTTAAACAAGAATAGAAATTTCAAAAATAGTACATGAAACTCTGAGATCTCTATATATATGTATATATCCTATACATTTAATCACTATCATATATTTATCCAGTGCACTGAAGATAAAAATCCAAAACAAAGAGTAAGCCTAGTTGAAAGTCCTAAAGATAAAGGAAGAAATAAAGAAAGTCTAATATTTCCTGCACAATTCTTATTTTTGTATTTCTTTCCTTGAGGTTTATTCACAACAATTAAAAAAAAAAGCCCAGGACTAAGAGAAATGCTAGATACCATTTAGTGCATCCCTTCCCTACATCTGACAGATGGATAAACTGTTCTGAGAGTAGGGTAGGCTTAGTGAGAGCCTCCGCTTCTATGAGCAGCGTTTTTCCCCAAAGAAAGCTGCCATGGCAGTTGACAGCCCATTGGCTTTGGTACTGGCTCATCTGAGATCAAAGCCCAGCTGTGTCTCTTACCAGCTGTGTGACCTTGGACAGAGGCTCTAAGTTTGAAGAGCTTTAGTTTCTTTGTAAGTGAAGCAAAGAATATATAACTAATGAGTTTGAGGGAATTAAATGTGATTTTATATATATATATATATATATATATATATATTTTTTATGTGTTCCTTTGGTCTACCTTCTCAAATAGCTTCCTCCATTCTTCAAATTACTTCTTTAAGATAGAGTACAACAAGTGGAATTATTAGTTCAATTGGTGTAAAAACTTATAGCCCTTGATATACGTTTCCAAATTGCTTTTTTACAAAATGCTGATTTAACTGCCATCAGCTGCACCTGAGGTTGGCAGTTTCACCACACTATTGTCAGAACAAGGTGTCAGAATTTAAATGTACTAGTTGATTATTTAAAAGAGAAAAGTAGTTTATTACTGCTTAAACTTATATCACTTTGATTAATGGTGGCAGTGAAGATTTCTCATATATATGTTTCCTGTCTTCTGACTTACTGGTTCAATTATTTAAATCAGTGCATGGGCTTTTTAATAAAATGTATGAAATATATATTTCCATCTGGTGCAGAGACTGTATCATATTTATTTTGTGTAACCCCAACACTATAAACTTGCTCAGAATAATGCTCCCTCAATACATTTTTTTCAATCCCATCATTTTGAGTATATTCACAAAGTTGTGAATAAGCCTCGTTGAAAGTCCTAAAGATAAAGGAAGAAATAAAGAAAGTCTAATATTTCCTGCACATCATCAATGTTGTAGCAAGTCTTAGTACTTCACTGGTTTTTTTATTGCTGTATAACATTCCATTGTACACATATATCACATTTTGTTTATCCACTAATCAAATGATAGACATGTTGGGTGTTTCCACCTTTTGTCTATCATGAGTCATGCTGCTATTGACATTCATGTACAAGTTTTTGTACATAAATTTTCATTTATCTTGTGTATACATCTAAGAATAAAACTTCTGAGTCAAATAGTAAATCTCTGTTTAGCTTTTTTTCCTTTCTGTTTAGCATTTTGAGGAGCAGCAAACTGTTTTCCAAAATAGTTGCTCCATTTTACATTTCTATCAGGATTACATGAGACTTCTAATTTCTTCACATCCTCACCAAAAATCATTGCAGTATTACTTTTTAATCTTAGTCATCCTAGTGGGTTTGAAGTAGTATTTCATTGTGGGTTTGATTTGCACTTCTCTAAAGACTAAGGATACCGAACTTTTCATGTGCTTATTGGCCATTACATATTCTCGTTGAAGAAATATCTGTTCGAATCACTTGCCTATTATATAATTATGGTTTTTGTCATTTTATTGTTGAGCTGTAGGAGTTGTTTACATATTAGGGATACAATTTTTAAATAAGATATGATTTTCAAATATTTTCTCCTATTTCATGAATTGATTTTGCATTTTCTTGGTGGTATCCTTTCATGCAAAAGTGTTTTTAATTTTGATGAACTTCAAGTAATCTATTATTTTCTTTTGTTGCTTCTGTTTTTGGTACCTAAGAAACAATTGCCTAGCCAAAGGCCACAAAAGATTTACTGCTATTAAATAAGTCTTGTTGTTTATTAGGCATTTAATCAACCAGCTGTTGAACCAAACTTGCATTCTTTGAGATGATTTATAGTTTTAACATTTATATTTAAGTGTATGATCCATTTTGAATTGTGTGTAATAGAAATTTGATTTCATTCTTTTGCATGTGGACATCAAGTTATCCTGGCACCATTTGTTGAAATGACTATTTTTTTTTTTTTTTTTTGCCTGCTAAATTTTTTGTCACCCTTGTCAAGGATCAATTGACCATATGTGAATATGTATTGCTAACTTCTCAATTGTACTTCATTGATCTCTATGTCTATCTTTATGCCAGTAATATCCTGTTTTAATGACTGTATATTTATAGCAGATTTTGAAAACATGAAGTATGAGTACCCCAATTTTTAAATTCTTTTTTAAAGACTGTTTTGGCTAGTCTGCATTCCTTACACAAGAACACATGAATTTTATGACTAGGTTTTCCATTTTTACAAAAAAAAAAAAAAAAGAGGCAGCTGAAATTTGGTAGGATGGCATTGAAATTGCAGATCAACTTTGGGGAAAATTGCCAACTTATTGATATTAAGTCTTCCAATCGATGAACATGAGCTACTTTTCCATTTGCTTATTTATTTATTACAACTATGTTTTCAGTGCACAGTGTACATGTCTTGTACTTTTTTGTTAATTTTTTCTTATTTTATTCTTTTGCAGCTATTATAAATTACATTGCTTTCTTAATTTTATTTTCAGAGTGTTCATTGGTAGTGTACAGAAATAAAATTGATTTTCTAATATCAATCTTGTATCCTGCCACATTGCTGAACTTACTTATTTGTTCAAATAATTTTTTTGTTGATTCCTTATGATTTTCTATATACAAGATTATGTCACCTGCAAATAAAGGTAGTTTTTACTTCTTCCTTTCTAATCTGATTGCCCTTCATGTCTTTTCTTGCATAATTGTCTTGGCCAGAACCTCCAAGAGAATGTTGAGTGAAAATAGATACCCTCTTCTTATTCCTGATTTTAGAAGGAAAGCATTCAGTTTCTCAGCATTAAGTATGAGAAGAGCTATAGGTTCTTTATAAATACCTTTTATCCAGTTAAAAAAATTACCTTCTATTCCTAGTTTGTTGAGTGAATTTATCATGTTTTCTTGAATTTTGTCAACTACTTTTTCTGAGTCTACTGAAATGAACATGAAGTGTTTGTCCTTTATTACTATGGTGTATTATACTGACTGATTTTCAGCTATTAAGCCACCCTTGCATGCCTAGTATGTACATGTACTTTAAAAATTTAAATAACACTGTATAAACACCTTTGTGCATATACTTTTGGTATTGTGGACTATATCCTTAAGAAAGAGATTCTCAAGTGGAATTCCAGAATCATAATTAATTTATAAACATTTTAAAGCTTTTAATTAATAGAAATATACATTTTCATCAGGATAAATACCAGCAATATTTATGCTGTTGCCTCAGGAAGTAACAAGTTTCCCCTTTTTCACACAGGTGCTCAAATATATGTTCATAATATAGGGGTTCTTAAAGTTTTTTTTGTTTTCATTTTTGTTTTGAGACAGCATCTCATTCTGTCACCCAGGCTGGAGGGCAGTGGCATGATATTGGCTCACCGCAACCTCCATTTCCCAGGCTCAAGTGATTTTCCTGCCTCAGCCTACTGAGTGGCTGGTATTACAGGTGCGTACCACTACCTCCTGGCTAATTTTTGTATTTCTAGTAGAGATGGGGTTTCACCACATTGGCCAGGCTGGTCTTGATCTTCTGATATCAAATGATCCACCTGCCTTGGCCTCCCAAAGTGTTGTGATTACAGGGGAGAGCTACTGAGCCCAGCCAAAGATTTTTAAATATAAGCTTTGCTGACCTCTGATCATTGACTTATTTTACACACCTCAAATACTAAGAAGAATTCTGATTTAACAAAAGAAAATTCTGGAAACCAGAAATCACAACCGGAAAAAATTTACTTACAGAATTATTGCTTGGGCATTCAGCATGCTTTGGAAGCAGACACAACAATGTTCAAATCTGCATTCTACCACTTATCAGCCATGAAATCTTCAACAATTTCTGTAACCCAAATAAAACTTTGTTTTATCACCTTCTTGATGGAAATTGTAACATTTACTTGTAGGGTCATTTTAAATGTGTATAGAGCAACATATGGTGTCAGACATTAAAATTGCACAACATATGTTAGCTATTTTCATTGTTTCTTGTGGTAGTAGCTACATTTTTGCTTAGTAAAATTTTTTTAAAAATTGTAATTTTAAGGACAATAGGAAAATGACCACATTTAAATCTTGTCTCCCTGACCATAAAAGGCACTGTTAACGCTCAAGAGAATCAGTGCAAAGATTTGATACTCTGGTTCCTCCATTATAAGTTCTCAGTTAAATGACAAATCCCTGAGTAGTTTGATAGCAACTTTTCAAATATTTTTGTTCCAATAATGTACATATTTTAGGCAAAAATTTGTGCTAGTAAAAATCAATTTCTTTTTTTTTTTTAATTATAATTTGGGCTCTGGGGTACATGTGTACCTCCTGCATCCTGCAGGATTGTTGCATAGGTACATACATGCTATGGTGGTTTGCTGTCTCCAACTCCCCACCCCTCACCTACATCAGGCATTTCTCCCGGTGTTGTGTTATCCCTTCCCATCCTCCCCGCTGCCCCCCTGCCCCACTGTCCCTCCTATCCCCTCTCCACCCCGCCACCTAGCCCAGTGAGTGTTGTTCTCTTCCCTATGCCCAAGTATTCTCATTGCTCATCACCTGCCTATAAGTGAAAATATGCGGTGTTTGTTTTTCTGTTCTTGTATCTTTAAAGCACATAGAAACCTTGAGACATTAGTGAAAACAAGCAGTGGAATAGTAATAATGGCATACATGTGTATATATGAAACTATATAAATATTTATAATACTATACATAATGATATATATACATATATAATTATATTTACTCTTCTTAACAACTCTGTGAGGTATTGGTATAATTTTCATTTTATAAATAAGGAAAATCAGGTTCAAAAAAGTTGAAGAACTTGCCTAATATCACAGAAAAACTAGGAAGTAGTGCTGGGCTTGTTATTAGACTACCTTTCCCTCAGAGGCCACTATACTACAATATCACTACATAATAATACTTACCTTAAAATATATGTTTCTTAGCTTCCTGGGAAGAACCAGAGGAAACAATTCTTTGGGAATAGTTGGGACTTCTAGATGACAGCGTAAACAAAGAAAGACAAGAAAGAAAATAAACTTATTAGCAAAAATCATTGTAATTTAAACTTTTAAAATATTAATCTACTTTATAGCATTAGATAGAATTTTAAACATAAGTGGACAATAGATTTGAACACCTTTAAAACTGTCTTTGATGAATGAATGTAGTTACACTTATAGCTAAAGGTAGGCACTTTCTGCTTCATGGTACTTCATCATGAATATTTAGAGAGCTGGCCAGGGACTTGGAGGGGAACATCCAAAGTATTGATTATTCAGTGTCATTAAATGTTTTGGAACTCTGTCCCTTACAGGTTAATATTACCCTTCTGTGGTTTTTAGTAAACAGTATGTCTTAGAAGACCTTTAATCTGGCTTGCATAGTTTATATTAAGTTGATTACATAATAAAACAAGCACTGTTGATTGCTTGTGTATGCCAAATGCTTTACTTACACTATCCCATTAATCTTCACAATACTTAGAAGTAAGTACTACTGTCATGTCATTTTATAAATGCAGCAAAGGAAGGGAGATACTTTGCTAGGAAGCATCAACTAAAATTGACAGAACTTGAAGTTGAGATCAAATTTGTTTTGATTCCAAAGCCCATGTTTTTAACTACTGGTTAATACTACCTCTTGTAAGCACATAACATGACCTCAAGATATGTATAACCTAATTGTTGTTTTCTCTGTGTTTCCTTCAAAAAGCAAAAATTAGGTGTGCATGGTGGATGACCAGCAGAAGGCCACATCTCAGGAGGGGTAAACCATTCAAATCTCCACCATTTCCCCACTCCAATCAAAACACTGAGCGTTACCCAGTACAGAGGTTTAAAGATTTTTGGGAGTAACCCACCTGCTGTGAAATAGGGCTGTGGGTTTGTAGAAAGGGAGGTTTTTCATCAATTTTCTCAGGCCCTACCCCATCTAAGGCCTTGTGTTTCAATCCAATGGCTGGTGAGAAGGGGAGACATTCGACCTAAGCTGTTGCTGTTTTTCTACTTATTATATCTCCAAGTTTTTTCAACCATGTTTCATAGTTTTCAATGTGGAGTGTACAAGACTTGCACTTTGTTGTTAAAATTATTCTTTAATATTTTATTCTTTTCAATCCTACTGCAAATGTTTTTATAATTTCATTTCCAGTTGTTTATTGCCACTGTATAGAAATATAATTATTTTGTATATTGATCTTATATTCTGAAAACTTGCTGAACTCATTTATTACTTCTAGTTGTTTTTTGGTGAAGTACTTAGGATTGTCTACATATAAGACTATATAATCTGCAAATAGAGATTTTTTTTTTTACTTCTTTCTTTCCAGTCTGGTTGGCTTTTATTTTGTTTTATCACCAAATTCCCTTGGCTAAAACCCCCATTACAATGTTGAAAGGAGTGGTGAGAGAAAGCATTCTTTGCTTATTTCTGATCCTAAGGGCAAAACATTCAGCCTTTCACCAATGAGAATGATGTTAGCTGTGTTGTTGGTTTTTTAATAGATGACCTTTAATCACGTTGAGAAAATGTCCTTTATTTCTAGTTTGCTACCATTCTGTATTGCTAGTTGGAATGTTTATCTCATATGGCCAGCTTGAGGCACCCCCCCCCCCAAGAATAAGCCAACAAATACAAATTGAGAATTTTAGCGGTTTTGCATAGGAGTTAAATGCTCTGATATTTTTATTTAAAATTTTATTGCAGAATATGAAGATGAATGAAAAATATCATACTAATAATTATTTGAAATTTTTAGTTTACTTAGAATGACAATGAATAGCAAACAAAAAGCACCATGATAAGATGAGAGTGAAAGTGGAAAAAAGGTATGTTTATGTTTATGTGTTCCTTTAATGGCATATTTTTCCTGTTCTTTAAACAAAGAAAGTCACATTTTCACCTCTCACTGGGTCCTAAAAATTAGAGAGTTAGTCTTCACCTTAAAATTGTACCAATGTATTCATTTGCAGCACTGGACTGGGACCCATTTTCCTCTTTGGCAGGAACACGTACCCTGTGAACATTGCTTTTCTAAGAAGGAGAAAGGAAAATACAGGGCTAAGCATCTCCAATTCTCCTCAAGATCACCAATCAGCTGAGTTACTACTTCCTGCCCTCTCTACTGCTGCCCCTCCAGGAGTGAACAAAAGGATGGAGAGAGGCCACAAGTGTTACATTAATGCACACCCTGTACATAAGAGGAAACACCAGGAGCAGGAAGTATGCCTTTCCCCTAAATGGGGGAATTCTCACAGGATGAGATATGGGTCACAAATAAATATATATTGCATCAAATGGAACCTCTTCAAACGAACCATCCTTGATTTAGCTGACTTTGATGGAAGTAGCAGAAAAGTTCAGAGCCAAGTTAAGATAAATAAATGAATATTTCCTCGTTTATTAAATAAATGTATCATTATTTTACTCACATTCAGTTGACCCACCAAAGTAATAAAAGAAAAACATAAATAATGTGTGAGATTCAATTAGATCACTGGGATATTCATTTTCCTATTTAAGTCTCCTTATCAATACTGAAATCAAGAACATAACTTGCTTCAAGCTAGGAAGACAACTCAATTACCATCTGATTTTTGCAGAATATCATATTTTAATAGGCAAAGTCATCACTAAATCTTTACATTAAAGCTATCATCAATGCAACTTTTCTAAAAGGAGGTTGAGTAGATATTTTTTGTTTAGATGTGTTTGTCTCTCTCTGAAGCCCTCATATTGAAAAGAAGAGAGATTCTTGAGCCATTTTCTAGACCTAAGATTTAACTCTTGTCATCTTCTACAATGTTTGACCTATTGCCTTTTTTTTTTTTGAGATGGAGTTTCACTCTTGTTACCCAGGCTGGAGTGCAATGGCACGATCTCGGCTCACCGCAACCTCCGCCTCCTGTGTTCAGGCAATTCTCCTGCCTCAGCCTCCTGAGTAGCTGGGATTACAGGCACACACCACCATGCCCAGCTGATTTTTTGTATTTTTAGTAGAGACAGGGTTTCACCATGTTGACCAGGATGGTCTCGATCTCTTGACCTCGTGATCCACCCACCTCGGCCTCCCAAAATGCTGGGATTACAGGCTTGAGCCACCGCACCTGGCCTTACTTGGTTTTTATTCACTACTTAATTTGAATTTGTGGCAATCAAATGGTTTTCAATGATAATCACAATGCTTGTGTTTTATAGTAAGCTATTTTTAAAAATTAATGTGTTTCCCTACTGAAAAGTACTTTTATTTTCATTTTTAGTGAGTTACATCCTAATGTAAAATTAAAATGTTGTGACAGATGCAAACTTCATTCTTTGGCTCTTTCTAAAAATTTTTTATTTTTATGTATATAATAGTTGTACATCTGTATGTACATAATAGTTGTACATATTTGTGGGGTACATATGAATCATTGATATAAGCATACCATATATAATAATCAAATCAGGGTAACTGATCCATTACCTAAAGCATTTCTCTTTTTGGGGGGGTTAGGACCATTTCAAATCCACTTTTCTAGTTATTTTGAAACACACAAAAATTGGTTTTTAACTAGTCACCTTATTGTGCTACTAAACACTAGCTCTTATTTCTTCTATTTAAAAAACAAACATCTAAATGAATAACAATTGATAAAAGAAAAACGAAGGGCTCCTTCTTCCCCATACACTCCCATTAGCCTTGGGACATCCTTGCTGGAAACATACCTAAACGAGTGTGGTCCTTATTTCATTTTCTCACTGGCTTAGGCAAGGTATTGAATGATCAATAAAATGTTAAGAAAATTCTTAGGTAGATGATGGGGTGATGGATGCAGTAAACCACCAGGGCACATGTATACCTATGTAACATACCTGCACATTCTGCACATGTACCCCAGAACTTAAAGTATAATATATATATATATAAAAGAAAATCACTTAACTTTTAGGATTATGATTATGATTAAGTGACATAATTTAAAAGTGTGCAAATTACAGTTAGCCAATGTTCAGTACTCAATAAATAATAGTTATTTTTATTTCTTCTGGAATGGAAGCAGAGTAAATTGAAGAGAAAAACAATGAAGATAAAGAAGGAAAGCAATAGCAACAGAAAAGCTAGTGCTCAGGTGGAGGCAGGTGAGGAATTTCTTATGTGGACGTTGCTACAGTGTGAATAGGATTTATCCTCACCAAATGTCACGTTGAGGCTTGGCCCTCAATGTCTTGGTGTTGGGAGGTAATGCCTTTTAGAAGTAATTAGAGCCTTACGTTGGATTAATGTCTTTATTTTGGGACTGGGTTAGTTCTCATGGGAAAGGAGTAGCTCCCTTGATAGTAGGCTTTTTTACAGCCAGGCTGCCTCTCCTGTTTGCTCTCTTTGCACATGCTTGTTTCCCATTTCACTTCTCCACCATGCTATGATGCAGCATGAGGCTCTCATCAGAAGCCTCCAGACATAGCTGCTCAATCTTGGACTTGCCAGCCTGCAGAACAGGGAGCTAAATAGATCTCTTTTCCTTACAAATTATCCAATCTCAGATATTCTGTTATAGCAAAAGAAAACAGACTAAGACAGAAGTGAACAATGCCACAGATAGAGATTGGAAATGAACAGTCTCCTTTCCAAAGTGCATTATCTTCTACTGGCTTCCCACCCTACTGCTAATCTGGAACACACAGTATTGAGGCAACAAAAACAGAGTCAGTGAGCAAGGGAAAACATGAGACAAGGGAAGAAAGAGAAGACAGAAATAAAATTTAAAAGTATAGAGGAAAATTAGGACAATAAAATAATAAAGAAAAGGTTAACCAGTTTGGGTAGTAATACAGAGTAGCAGGCAAAGGACCACCAACTTTTTTTATTAATTCAAAAAAACAGGCAGAGCTTAGTTCTGTTAGTTTTGACCTTTAAGTTTTGAGATTTTTAAAAAAGTTTGTGAGTAGGCTAAATCATGACAAATGCCTAATTTAAAATTGATTTAGCTGCCAATCCCCTCTCCTGTGAGAACC